TGGGTCGGGGCGCGCGCTGTCACACGGCCACCGCCGTGTTTGTTTAGTCACGCGTGGAGGTATGCGAGTGCACACGCGTGTATTTGTACACGTGTGTGTGTGTATGTATGTGTGTGTGTTAGTCGGGGGGAGCGGTGGTGTAGCGGTCAGCGCGCTGCGCTACGAACCTGTCGACCCGGGTTCGATTCCTGCTGACGGCCAACACCAGTGACGATTATCTGAACCGGGCCCTCCCCTAGGTCGACTCAGCCTCAAATGAGTACCTGGTGCGTTGTGTAAACATCGCCACTAGGGAGACAAAGGCGGTCGGGCGTGGTGCTGGCCCAGACATCCTCTCGTGTGCCGTGCCGGTCTCGATAGGTGCTCGCAAAAAGAACTTGCTCCTACAGTCTGTTGAGGCTATACGGGGGATCTTTGTCTCGTACGTGCGTGTACTCGGCCTGGTATGGTGCGTAATCACCGCCGCGTGGGGAGACAAAGGCGGCCGGGCGTGGTGTTGGCTCACACCATCCTCACGTGCGCCGTTGCCACCCTTTGCAAGTCATCTCTGTGACAGCACTTGCCCCAACATCCTTTTTATGTCACGCGGGGGATCTTTGTCTTTATTTTTGTGAACGTGCCAATCAATGTGTACACGTTTGTGTCTACATGCTTGTACCCGTTCCTGCGCGTGCACGCGTGTTGCGCCTCTTCACGTTGCGTGTTTAAATGTTAGTGGGCTACCGGGGAGACAAAGGCGGCCGGGCGTGTTTACGGCCATCACAATCTCCCTCGTACGCCACGCAGGCCTTAACAGGTGCTCGTTAAACGCAATTGCCCCCAAGGGCCTAATGTGGACTACACAGGGGATATTTGTCTTTGTATTTATGTGCGTAATAGGTGCTCGCTAACAGCACTTGCCCCAGCTGTCTAGAGGCTATAGGTTGGTGGGGGGGGGGATGGGGAACTTTGTCTTTATGTTGTGTGTGCACGTCTGTATGTGTGAGGGGAGCGGTAGCTGAGCGGTTAGCATGTTGCACTACGAACCTGACCGCCCGGGTTCCATTCATGCTCAACGGCCAACATCCCTGACGGTTATATCTGAACCTGTCCTGGGCCTCCCCTATGTCGACTCAGCCTCAAATGAGTAGCTGGTACAATGTGTGGAACACATCACCAAGTGGGGAGACAAAGGCGGTCGGGCGTGGTGTTGTGCACCCGCTCCCATTCGTGCGCCGTGCCGGCCTTCATAGGTGCTACTCGCTAATAGCACTTGCCCCAACAGCCTGTTAGAGGCTATACGGGTGATCTTTGCCTTTGTATGTGTGTGTGTCGTAAGTTTAATGCTCTGTTTACAATGGCGCTGTGTAAAGTTAGCTCATACATAGTAAGTGTTGCCTGGAGACCCGTGTACTCCCTCTGTTGTGCAGAACAACAGAGAGGGCGAAGGAGAAACCCTCAGAAGTTCCTCGCGAAATCATCCCTCTCGGCTCGTCCACGCCGACTCAGAGATCACTGCCCCCCCCCAGGCCCCCGCCTCTCATTCCATGGCCCTCCAACCCCACCCCCCGCCCTGTCCATCCGATCCATCCCCTGCCCCCCCCTTCTCCTCCACCACCACCACCCTCAGATCCCCGTTTAAAAATACAGTACAGTAGCCGGGCTTATCAGATCACGGGTCGCTAAAAGCGTGTTGCCACACGCCGGCTTTACTGAACGCGAATGCGGAATTCTGGACTCGATGTTGGGAAAACGATGGGTTCAAGTCCTGGTCGGGGAGAAAGGGGGGAGGAGGGGTGGTGGTTGAAGATGAATTACTGATCAGCCTTGTTGCCTCTTCTTGGTTCTTTCGGTAAAGTCACGTAGAATGGAAATAATAAAATAATAAAAATAAAACATAATAAAATAATTCTCACGACGTTTTGGCCACAACGCAAGCAGCCGTCCTCAGGTGAAGAACAGGTCTGTCGAGAAGATGGCTGCTTGCGTTGTGGCCGAAAGGTCGTGAGAATTATTTTATAAAGTTTTATTTTTATTATTTTATTATTTCCATTCTACGTGACTTTACCCAAAGAACCAAGAAGATGAATCCCTGCAGTCACGAAAGCTTTACATCGAAGCCTTGTTGCCGTCATCGTCATCATGGATTTAGCAGCACGATTGTCACGTGCGTTTGACTCCGGTTCCTCCGGTTTTTCCTCCACGTTCAGATTCAACATCACCCGTTTCTACTTTTTGGTCGCTATACATTTCCACATAAGCCACTGCGTTGAACTATCATTTGCCGAGCTATCATTGTGGTCAAATCGCCTCTGAAAAAGAGCGATTATAGCTCAGCGAACCTTATCTGGTACGGTATAATAAGAGTTTAGTTTTAGCGTGTAAGTTATTGCAGTTTGCCGATGGCCTTCATTCACTCAGAAAAGCATCGCCGAGTCTCAGGAGAATCCTGCCACGTGGCCGTCTGTGTCCCATTTCATTCCACAACTCGTGAGAGTTCCCATTCGTGTGCGGCAACGAAAGCTTCAAAATGCCTCGGAGAACAACAACTCCGCGCTGCTCGCGACGCGAACGGCACTCGGCGCTGCCACCTACTGGCCACACCTCGCAGGCAGCATCCACGACCTGCAAAGAAACGCACGTGGGGTGAGGCACGATCTCCTGGTGGCGGATGGTGGACGTGGGGGTGCGGTAGTGTAGGGGTTAGCGCCCTGCGCTATCCGAGTTGGGATGCCCCCCCGCTCAGGGCCGGCGACACAAGCGGGCGATTATCATGAACCGGTTCTGGGCCTCAGCGGCGATTATCTGAACACGTATCTGGGCCTCCCCTATGTCGACTCCGACTCAAATGAATACTTGGGCGCTGTGAGTTGACACCGCCGCTCGGGAGACGAAGGCTGGGCAACCACCACCCCCCCCCCCCGCCTGCCCCTCGTGTGCCGTGCCGGCCTTCATAGGTGTTCGCTAACAGCACTTGCCCGCAGCAGTCTGTTAAAGGTTATACGGGGGAGCTTTGCCTTTGGTTGTTGCGACGGTCACCCATCCAACCGTCGAACGAGGCACAACCCTCGCTCGGAACGAGATCGGGCGTCGTTTTCAGCCTCGACGCGATTCTCATCGGGCCGCGAACGTCGTTGCAATTCGTCGCTCCAAGATCGACGTCGGTGTCCTCGTTAGGGATTTACGAGAAACGGTCCCGTGCAACAACAACAGCAACAACCTCCCGATCTCGCTCCGCCGCCGCCGCCGCTACGGGACGACATATCCAGCGCACGCACACGAGAGGCGACGCACGAACGCACATTGCACCCCTCCGCTAGTAGCAGCAGCAGCAAAAAAAAAAACCCCAAACCACCAACATCATCATCAGCGGCGACCAACTGCGTCCAACAAAACCGCACCGGGCCCCGGTTTATCGGCACCGACGCTATGCGCCACCCCTCCTTACTCCGACCCCCCCCCCTCCGCCACCGCCGTATCGGGGATTCGCGGTTGATTGCGAGCGTATCTACGTTTGCTCGGGTCACACTCCCCCCCCATCACCACCACCCCCCGTCGCGAGTGCGTCGTTGCAAAATATTTGAGCGACGGCGTTTTTTGTTGTTGTTGATCGAAAATGACGACATCGTGAACCTCAGTCGCCCTGCACCCCCCCCCTTCCCCTCCACCGCTACTCCCTCCTCCTCCGTCTGCTCCCCCCACCACCACCACACTCCCAATTCTACTCCCTTCCACCTTCCCCCCATCGCTGCTACTGCTCAGCGCTCCCCTCCCCCGCTGCGCGAACTGGAACGTGCGCGCCACCAATTTTTGGAGCGTCGTGGGGGTGGGGTGGGTCCACCTATCTCTGTGCGGAGCGCCGTAAGTTCGCTTTCTTTTGTTACGGCGCAAACTGTTGTGTGTGTTTTTTTTGTGTCGGAGGATGCTTTCAAAAATGTACGCAGATCCCATACCCGTAGAACAACTTGTCGGACAATTTGCTGGGACTGATTCGAGCTGCCGCTGTTGCTGCTGCTGATGACTATGATGATGAGACACCTTAGTTCCACCCAGTTGTGTTTGTATTCATTAAACCCTAATGCTGTTGAATAATACGGAAGAAAAAAAAACCCCGGCGAGATGTGCCCAGGAGATGGTAAAAGCAGCATTGGATTCTTGAATCGATCTGTGCGTAGCTTTTGAGTGTTGCTGCTATTGTTCTTCCCCTCGCGTGTATGTCGTGGCGGGTTCGTTCGGAGTCATCCTGGATTCCCTCCCGCAGCGAAGCCATCACTGGCCAAACATCCCAGTTGTAGCAGGACCTCCCCCCCCACACCCCCTTCTTAAACAGGAGCCTCGGCACTGAACTTTTATGCCGCGTAAATGAAGAACATCGCTATCACCTTATATGGTTATGTTCACCCACGTGTAATCAGAGCGCGCTCTGGGCATTGTTTGCTCATTGGTGTACAACGCCGTCAAATCACCCCACTCATAAGACGCAACTTAACCAATCGTCTACACACACAAAAAAAACACACACGCGCACTTCATCCTCCGATGCCACTTTACAGGCCAAGCATGGCTCGTTTGAAAATTATTAACAAACAAAAAAACACACAAGCCCGCTATTAAAGTTGTTGCGAAAACAACAACAGTCGCTTGCAACAGCCGCGCGCGCGCGCCACGGGTCGGAGTCAACAACGCGGCTTGAGATCCGAAATAAAAAGCAACGTGGCTTCAAACAAACACGGCCCCCGTGCGCGCTCGCCTTTCCGCGTTATGGCCGTAGCCGCTTAGGGGGGAGGTGGTGGTGGTGGTTTGATGATGATGACGACGATGGGGGGAGGAGAGCGGTGGGAGATGTTGGTGGTGTTGGGGGGGGAGGAGATGAGAAGGAGGGGGAGGGAGGGAGGGAGGGGGAGGGAGATGGTTGGCGGCTCAGGGGGCGGCGCGCATGACTTGTGTGTGAGCTAACTGGCGTTCACATTGGCGAGATCCAGCGCTCCTCCCTCTCGAGCGATATAAGTAGCGCGGACCAGGGGAGACGGAGCCGATACCAGCAAAGCGGGGTTCGGGGGAGCGCTTCGTGTCTTTGTGGCGTTGCGAGCGACTCGTAGACTCTTGAACAATTGCCCTCCCCCCGCCTCTGTGAAGCCCCCCGATCCGGCTACCCGTACATCTCCCGTATTATTTATCAAGTTCGGAGCTGCTACTTTTGCTGCTAAACTACGTCGACTTCAACTGCTGCTGCTGTCTGTCCCGTGGCCCTTTGTGTCTGTGACTGGAGCGATTTTTAGCTTTTTTTTTTGGGAGGGCACGGACAAGCTAGAGGAGATCTGTTGTACTCCAGTTCGACATTTATCTTATCGACTCGGGCGAGAAGGAACAAAACAACCCGCAACAGCAGCAGCATCATCATGTCCACGGCTCTCGTGTACCCGTTCGGTGACATCGGCGATATGTTCTTCAAAGTAAGTAGAGTTGGTGGTGGTTGTAGTTGGTGGTAGTTCGTGGAGGGGTACGAGGCGGTCGGGCGTGACCATGGATCCGCCGAGAGCGATCCGAGTTGGTAGCGCGATGGTTGTGGTGGTGGTTGTTGTTGAGCGAGCGATGTTGCCGCGGTAGCTGCTGCTACTGCTGCTGTTACCAGCTCCACTTGTAACACACCTCCGACTGCTACTAACCACCGACACCCCGAAGTGGTCTGCTTGGCGGTAGTACCCTTGTGCCACGTGTTGCTGCTGCTGGATGTGTGTGGATGGCAGCAGCTTCTTCCAACATTCGGCGACAAAAAGCCGAAAATAACTTCGGGTCGGAGAGACGATGCCAGAGGAGTGCTTCTTTGGCGATTCGCAAGGGGTTCTGTTTGAACGATTTAAGCCTTGCTTCAGTGTAGTGTGTGTGTAGCGTGTGTGTGGTGTGTCCACAGCTGTGAAGGCGACGACAATCTCCAACTTTTATTTTTAAGCCGCTCCCAAGTTTTTCACAATTAACGCCTTGGCAAAGTAGCACACACCTTTTTTTAACTCGCTAATTAAACCTTTGAACGTACAAAGAAACGATGACAATTGGGGTTCCACGCTATTGTCTTGTCTGGTGTGGGTTTTTTTGTTTGTCCTTAGCCCGCACCTCCACGATTATCATGCGAAAGAAGTCCACGTCGCGTCCAACAAGCACGCGTGTCTATAACGCCTCCGCTTTGTCCCCCTTGACTCTCCAGAACGACGTGAACAAGGACTTCGACTTCGAGTACCTGCCCGACAAGTACTCCATGGACTCGTCGCCTACCCTGCAGTCTCCCTACCGCGGCTCCTCGGCTCTCAACCTCTCTCTGCTCGGCCACAACTCCCCTTCCTCCTCCTACTGCAACCCGCGGTCCGCACTCGGAGGCAGCAGCAGCAGCAACAGCAGCAGCAGCAACGGAGGAGGTCTGGGCGGTCTGGGGTGCCTGGGTCTGTCCGGCCTCGGGGACCTTTCCACGGCCTCTCACGGCTGCCGTGACCTGAGGTTCCGAGACCGATCCTTCAGCGAGACCGGCGATCGGGCCACAGCCCTTGGTCTCGGTCTGGGTCTCGGTCTGGGTCTCCACGGCTTCGGCTCTCTGCACAAATCCATGGGGGGCGGCGGTGGCGGCGGCAGCAACGACAGCAGCTGCGGCAGCATCAACGGGCTCGTGGCGAGCTCCTCTTCCTGCTCGTCCTCGTCCTCCTCGTCCTCTTCATCTCCCTGTGCAGCAGCAGCAGCCGCAGCCGCAGCAGCAGCCGCCTCGTCGCAGACCCAGAGCAGCAACTCGAGTCGCTACAAGACGGAGCTGTGCCGGCCCTTTCAGGAGAGCGGCACCTGCAAGTACGGCGACAAGTGCCAGTTCGCGCACGGGCATCACGAGCTGCGCGGCTTGGTGCGCCACCCCAAGTACAAGACCGAGCTGTGCCGCACCTTCCACACCATCGGCTTCTGCCCCTACGGGCCTCGCTGCCACTTCATCCACAACGCCGAGGAGAACCGCCTCGCCGTAGCAGCAGCAGCAGCCGCAGCAGCCGCGGGCGGCTCTGGCTCCCACGGCTCTGGCTCCCACGGCTCCCACTCCATGGGGCCGAGGCCTCGTCTCAGCCACAGTGTGAGCTTCGCCGGCTTCCCCAGCGGGGGGGTGGCGGGCGGTGGCCGTCGCTGCACGCGATCCGACTCGCCGCCGACTCTGCTGGAGAGCCCCGCGTCTCTGACGCCACCTCCGGGCCTCCTGTTCGCGTCCGTGAGCGAGGAGGCGATCCTGCAGCAGCTGTCGCCCCTCCCGGCGGGCACCAAAAACCCTTTCGTCTTCACCAACCACCGTGGCGTGCCCACGATGATGGGCAACGGCGGCAGCGGCGTGGCCCGCTCGCAGTCGCCCCTCGATTCGCTGTCCGACCCCGACGCGGGGTACCTCAGTTCGGGGGGTTCCAGCGGATGCGAGTCCCCGGGTCCCGACGGTTCGGGGAAGAGGCTGCCCATCTTCAGCCGCCTGTCCATCTCCGAGGACTGAGTGTCTCCTCCCCCCCCCCCCCACCCAGTACTCATTCTCAGTAACAACAGCAGCAGCAGCAGACATACGATTTATAGAGGAGGCAACAGAACACAGCAGCAGCAGCACCATCAAGTAGTCGTTTCATGATGACGGTAGCAACGATGATTGCGCTCTTATCCATGGTGATGATGATGATGGTGTTGGGGGAAGATACTGTTAAATCGGTGCATGTGGTGTTTTTATGATTATTATGTTTGGATGATGTTGATGATAGCGCACAGATGTGACCTGCTTCCAAACGCACCAGCGCTTAAGAGGAGGAGGAGGAGGGGAGGGCGCTGATGAGTTCGCGCCCGAGCGCCGGGCGTCTTCGGCGTTGTTTGTAGGAACGCGATGGCGTTGTTGGCGAGTCTCTCTCTGCTCGTGTCGCCGTGCCTTAACCTAGCAGCAGCAGCAGCAGTGCCTTTGGCTTGGCCTGGCGTCAACCGGCTAGCCAAGCGGTGCCCACAACGGGTTTGTGATCGTGGTGGTGGTGATGATGATGTGCCTATTGAGTCTAGCCAGGCGGCTTCAATACGTTTTTTTTTACTCTGAACTATGTAACGTGGCAGAACAATGGCCGTTTAAAAAAAAAACATTCTAGTAATAACGATCTGTGAATGTGGTGGTGGTGGTGCAAAGATTGTATGTTTTTTTGCAAATCTATTGCCCCACTCGGATGGGTTGAAACAATTTGTTTCCTAATTCGCTCTTGATGAGTTCCCCCCCCCCCCAATCCCCCACACTTTTCTAATTATCTAATAATTCATTGTTTGTTTTAGCTAAACGAACTGCCTCAATTTTTTTGTCGTTATACGTGAATTGTAGAGCCATTGATGATAGCTGGTTGCAGAATTAATTTTGATAACGCGTTCAAATGATTGTAAAAGCATTCTTGTCTGTGCGTGGTTCGTCTGAGCGCGTGTGCGCGCGTGCGTACGTGCGAGATATTAAAAGTGCCACATTTTATTATTATCTCTGCTGAAATTTGAAAAAAAAAGAAAATGCACTCAATTAATTTTTGTTTTCTAAACTTGGGACAAACCGTGGCTTTTGTGTTTGTTGTTGCGCGGAGTATAAAATGTTAAGTGTTTTGAACATTTAAACCCGGTGATTTCATTGCGATTAGCTCTTGGTTCATGCTCCTAAACTATTTACCGTTAACTTATTTATTTATCTATCATTTATTCATTTTGCTAATTTTGTTTTTATTTTTGTTAGTATTTATCGGATATGATTCACGCAAAACTCGCGTATTTTTTTTCTCTCTCCTTGTATACGTTCATTAAGTTATGATTATTATTTTTTGGTTTGAATATGAACTAGAAAGTACGGTTGGAAAGGAAGGGTGATGGTGGTGGTGGTGATTGGGGTTAGTGCCTTCGATGTTGTAATGATGACTGTTTACGGATCTGTGCGGTTATAGAAAGTAGTTGCAACACAGGGGGTCCCCGATATTGTTTTTTTATTTAAGAGATACATTGAACCTAAAAAGTATAAATTAGTACACCAAAAAAGCAGGCTTCGAGTAGCGATAACCAAGTATTAAACTGATGTTGAATTTGACTGTTAAATATATAGAAATGCAACAAGATCATTCCACAACTTATTACACAACTTAACGCATATGTGTTTTATTTTGTTCGACATAAGAAATGTACGTGGTGGTTTAAAAAAAAAACATTAAATTATTCTATGCAAAAAAAAACAATTCTCTCTTAACTTTTGGAAAGTGGAAATCTGTTTTTTTTTCTCTTCCCGAAGGTTGTGTTGCTACTTTGCGTTCACTACAGTTACGCTAAGTTCTTATTTATCATCAGTGTTTCTTAATAAAGTTTCTTAACAAAATCCCAGGACGTGCGTGTGTGTGTGTGCGCGCCTGCACCCCGAGTGGCTGAAACGAGTGGTGACGCAGTGGTTAGCGCACTGCACTAAGAACTCTATCACCCGAGTTAGATTCGCTGCTCATGTCCAATAAAAGAACATATTTTAACCGGATCCTGGGCCATGGTCGATTCGGCCTAAAAAAGAACAAATACTTCGTGCCTTTGTGTACACATCGGCGTTGGAAGACAAAGGCGTCCAGGCGTGGTGCTGCCCTGCCCCCTTCCACGTGTACCGTGCCGGCTTTAATAGTTGCTCGCAAACAGCACTTGCTCAAGCTGCTTGATAAAGCCCACGGTGGGGGATCTTTATCGGTGCTGTTTGCCCCATGCTGGGGGTCCAATTGTGCACACGTGGCCACAATGGGCAGTTGGTTAACTTCCTGTACACATGCAAGCCTCTATGGACAATCCTTCACACACTATCCGACACGCACAAATCCAACACACACGATCCTACACATCAACAAAGGCCGCCGTTCGCCACGAAGTGTCGGTGACGTCACACCGGCGCTTGTGCCAGGCCTGGTACACTTTGAGGCCACGTGAAGTGTCGAAGGCTCGCTGACAGGAGGTCACGGGACAAACCCCGGTGCCATGGGTTGACTTGAGATGACTGACAGATGTACCAGCTGTGCCCCCTGCTGTGCCAACTTGCTTCATTTGATTTGTTTGGCGCTCGGCTGGTTGTGAGCGTCGCTTCTCTGCCCTCCACTGTTGTTGGAGGGCGACTGCCTCCAACTGCCTAGTAGCGTTCTTCACGAGCCTCCTCCATAGACGCCGATCTTGGCACCGCTGGTACCAGTATTCGGCAAGTCCACTCAGTTCCACGTCCTCTGGTGCCGCCATCAATCCATCTCTTCTCCATCCCGTGTTGCGCCCGTTGAGCCCGCTCTATCCAGCCAAACAGAAGATGATTGGGCATGCGGGCTACATGACCCAGCCAACGCAGCCTTGCCCGCCGAAGGAGCTCACTGATGGGGATGTGTCCAGATCTTTCAAGGATGTGAGCTTTTCACACAATCCATCCGGATGGATTGTAGGCAAGCCAAGCCTGCATGTTTCTAACCGGCGCAGATGCACCATTAGAGGGGGGGTCCACGTTTCGCAAGCATAGAGAAGGGTAGGGCATGACTGTGGCCGAGAAGACCCGAAGCTTTTCGTGGAGGTAGCTTCCACACAGCGTTACGCAGGCGATGAAACAATAGTGCCGCCCAACTATTTCGGGGTGAGACATCTGCTGCCAAACCGGATTTGGTCGTAAGCACACTGCCCAGGTATGGAAAACTCTCCACTCTTTCCACAACTGCCCACATCACCAATGGGAGTTGAGAAGGTGGAGTCATTGATGGCGCAAAATACTCGGGCAGTCGATTAGTTTTGGCGGGGCTTATGTTAAGACCCGCCTCTTAGTGGCACGATCCAGGTTCAGCAGCGCCTCCACCCACACACACACACGACTAAAGATCCCCCGTATAGCCTTAACAGGTTGTAGGAGCAAGTGCTGTCATCGAGAACCTATGAAGGCCGGAATGGCACACGAGGGGGTGGGTGTGGCCAGTACCACGTCCGGCCGCCTTTGTCTCTCTAAGGGCGATGTTTACACAATCCTACACACACAATCCTATACACACATTCCTGCACGCACCTGCACACACGCACAATCCGACTCCCACACAACCCTACACACCAAATCCTACGCACACACACACACCGTACGCGCAACGACAATCCTACACGCACCAAATAACGGCCGCGATACAAAGCTGCTGCGTCAGTCCCTTGCGGTCAGTTACAGTGGGTGCAGCATATCAAGAGTAACACTGTTCATGACATTATTTCGGCGCAACAACATTCACAGCGTAAGCGGTGGAGGAGTGCTCGCGTTGTACAGAGCAGCTAGCCACACTGGAATTACTTTGGGCGGTAGGCGTCCAGTGATTTGGTCCGAATGTGAGCATCACCCGCCACTCGGAATTACTAAGCATGTGACGAGCCTGGTTAGCGCTTGAAAGGGTGACCACCACAACCAAACAAAGAAAAATATCCCCCCGTGTAGCCTTTAACAGGCTGTTGGGGCAAGTGCCGTTAGCGAACACCTTTAAAGGTCGGCACGGCACACGAGGGGGTGAGTGGTCAGCACCACGCATTTGTCTCCCAGTGGTGATGTTTACACATCGCACCGGGTACTCGTTTGTGACTGAGTCGACCTAGGGGGAGACTCAGGACCAGTTCAGATAATCGTCACTGGTGTTGGCCGCGAGCGGGAATCGAACTCGGGTCGCCCGGTTCGTAGCGCAGCGCGCTAACCGCCGTTTCCCACGCTAGCAAAGCACACGACAAATATCCGTGGTATATATATCCTTAACACACTGCTAAGACGACCATCACCCCAACACTACCACCGTCATCAACAGCAACTCGCCCGGTGGTTGCACGAGCCGCGTCCAGAAGACGGCCGTGCTGAGTGACACCTCTCATTGATGAAATGCGTGCTGGGGTTTTGTTGTTGTTGTTGTTAAACTCCAGGTTTCTCATACACGCTGCCAAAACTGCCATTCATAAAGGAATTGGAGAAACATTCCAATGCAGCAACAGCAACTTTGGCGGCGGCAGCCTCCTGCCATCGTAAATATATAAATGTTGTCGTTAAACCCGCCACCACCCGACACAGCCAACTAGTAAGGTTTGTCACGTAAACAGAACGTGGCCAATTCGTTACTAGTACAGCACTAACCGGTGTGTTGGAGAATAAAGCTACAACATTCACAATCTGAGTACCACGTTTCGCCAGTGATTACAACTGGCTTCATTACCCTCTTAACAGACTAAGCACAATCCCCAACGGAACCATTAGCTCAAGCATAGTATACAACGTGGTTCTGATCCTGTCCACTGAGATGGAGGTCGCGGTGTAAATGTATCATTCCCATGGCGTGACCCAATCCAGAAGCCAAATAACCGCACCCTGTTGACTCTTTCTGAGTGAATGCAGTATATTTTTAAACGTTGGTTCAACTTCATGACTATGATATTTTGGCTGAAACTTGCACACTTAACCAAACTTATTCAAATCATATGTACATATATAAAAATATGTGTTTCCATGTGTTTATTTACACTTCGTTTTTCCGAGTTAAATTTTTTTCCGAATTTCATGTTTTTACATCCAGGTTCTCCCTGTGCAGAAGAATGTCGATTGCAAAACGGGCCCCTCACTGCAACTGCTAATAAGTGCCATGAAAAAGGGCTGTTGCCCGAAACATCGCCTTGTTCGAGAGTATTTTGATTTAAAGAAGTCTTCATGACGAATCAGAATGAGAACATGTATTCATACTGGAGGAATCCGATGAGCTGTAGAGCTATTTTTTCACAGATGTCCAGTAAATGGTGGCAAATTGCCCGCTAATTAACGAAAACTCAGCCAGCCAACCCATCGACTCACGCGACACCGAATCGATGCAGCCTAGGCGAGTTCGCATGGCTCCACGAAAAGCGGTGCCCATCATTCACTGTCGACGCTGAGAGCCAAGGCAAGCTTTGAGTTCATGACCAGGGGAACTCACTTCGTACGGAGACGAGGCGTACTTGGTGGGGACTCGGAGCTTCGCTGGGAATCATTACTGCCACCTGGCGTCTCGAACGGACGCGACGGCATTGCGGTGGTGCGTAAAACACAATCCACAACAAACTCTAACGCGCTCGAAAATAACACCGTGGTCCTTAAAAAGAAGGCAATTGGAATCGGCGACCTTTCGGGCACGAGCCCTTCTTCATAGTACTGACGGTATACGCAGAAATGTCTTCTGCCCACATAAAAAAAAATATTGGTCACCAAAGACAAAAATCCCACCTTATAGACCTTGACAGACATTTGGGCAAGTGCTGATAGCGAGCACCTAATGAAGTCCAGTACGGTACACGAGGGGGTGGGTGGCCAGCACCACGCCCGAACGCCGTCTGTCTCCCTAGCGGCGTTATTTGCACACCGCACCAGGTACGTACTCGTTTTGTTTTAATGCCGCTCGGTTAACCTCGGGGGTAGGCCCAGGACAGGTTCACACAATCGTCGCTGATGATGATTGCGTGAGCACATGAGCGACAGAGCAGGTGAAGCCGCAGCTGGAGGTGCAGTCAGCTGGGTAACAAAGGTCACCTCGCGGTTCCTGCCGACACGGTGTGGTCGATGATTGCTCAGAGACGGGCGTCATAACAACAAGCGCCATTCGCCCCTAAGTGGCGGCGACGTCACCACGGCGCTTGTGCCAGGCTCGGTGCACGTTGAGGCCACGTGAAGTGTCGAACGCCCGCTGGCAAGAGGTCACGGGGCAGACCCAGTTGGTGCCACGGGTCGACTGACTGAGATGACCGAGATGACTGGCTGATGCACCACACGCACGCACACTCCCACACGTACACACACGCACGCACACTCCCACACGTACACACACACACTTCCACACTCACACACGCACACTCACACACACACACACGCACGCACACTCCCACACTCACACTCCCACACGTACACACACACACTTCCACACTCACACACGCACACTCACACACGTACACACACGCACGCACACTCACACTCCCACACGTACACACTTCCACACTCACACACTCCAACACGTACACACATACACTTCCACACTCACACACGCACACTCCCACACGTACACACACACACTTGCACACTCACACACGCACACTCCAACACGTACACACACACACACTTCCACACTTACACACGCACACTCCCACACGTACACACGCACACACTTCCACAGTCACACACGCACACTCCCACACGTACACACACACACACTTCCACACGCACACTCCCACACGTACACACACACACACACTTCCACACTCACACACGCACACTCCCACACGTACACACACACACTTCCACACTCACACACGCACACTCCAACACGTACACACACACACACTTCC